TAATTTTGAAGACAATTTGAAATTCTGATAAAATCCCTAAACATTTGAGTATCCAAACTCATCTATACAAAAAACACAAACTCTGCGCAGACCCTTTTCATGTACAAAGGATGGGCATCCTGTCCCATGAGGGGTTCTTTTCTTTGTGCAAAGGTGTATAGTAGGGTAATGGAGAGGAGCTTCATCATTTTCAGTCCAGTTCAATAGAAAAGCAGCGCACAAAGAAATTTCCAACTCCGGCTTCTTTTTCAGCCATCGTGCTGAACACGAATTTCAACTTCAATTACCGTGAAACTACTAAAAAATAGAGATTCCAGAGTTCCTATGGATTGGCGGATAACTGGTAGGAGCGCAATTTTGACTTATCCACTTTTGCTCCCCAATCTATCGCACGTCTTTCTTGCTAGATAGCTCAGTTTCTGAGAGAAGCCGAATACGAGCAGGCTAAGGGAGAATGGCTGTGTAGGCGGACTGATCTAAACGACCGAAGTGATTTTCACGCACACCACGGGGAATGATTTGCCTAAAATTGGAAATAGCTTAGTTAGAGAGTCGGCTCATTACCTAATGAAGCCTGACATCCTTAGTTTTGTCCGGACACTGCCCTTAAGACCTCTCTAAGAATGTTCATGCATACAAACTCTATGGTTCTCTTGTAAGGATTAATGCCAATGTATCATAACGTTTACTATTTGAGAGGGTTGCAATAGCAGCGAATGATGCAAAATTGTTTACGCTATGTCTATAAACCTATATAAACCGCAAACTCACTTGATATCATCATTTTAGGACTATCTACATCAATGAAGGTTACAGTTCTCGTGCTGGTGTCGTCTCTTCACATCTTTGCCTTCAATCTCAGTCGGAATCATAGCCGAAGAGTTGTGGCTGAGAAACAGTCAGGACATCCTCAAAAGAAAACTTTACATTCTTCCAAGCTGCCGTTGGCTACGTTAGGGTCAACTGTCCCTAAAATGTGGAAAAAGGAGGAAGGATATACTGATTCAAGAAAAACCCTCTACACGAAGAAGAAATGTTAGAGCTTGACGCAAAAGTGGTGAAAAGAAGCAATCCTGATGATAATTTGGGAGAAGAAGATCAGAATTATTATACAGATGGAATGACGAGGAAGGATTATTTAGCAAGGACGCCGATAACGAAAACGTTGACGAAAAAATGATTAAAAAGAGCAGGACTAAATTAGAAGCGGGACCCCGAAATCAAAACTACTATGTATGCTTCTTTCTAAAGTGGTTTTTTAATCCTTTCAATTGCTTGCAGCACTTCTAGGCACATGGCAATGTTGATATGGACGATGAGGCTTCAAGAAATGTACTGCAGTCTCTGATAAGCTCAGTTCTAGGAGTGCGTGGGGAAGCAGTGCCGAAATATCCACCTACGGCCATAATTGTCGTGTATGGAAAATCTCAAGAATCTCAACTAATTTCACCTAAGAAAGGAAAAAACGGGAACGGAAAATGGCATCGTTCTCGAGGTCCGTTTGGAAAAACAGAAAAAAATGGCAATATCATTTAGAAAATACTAACATTCACGGACTAGAAGTAGGTGAATCTCATTATAATAGTTGCTCAGTAATAATTCGAAAGGCACAGGAACCCCGTGAGGTAATACGAACAATCGTCCGACAAGCGTGTTCTTCCAGTCACAAGCGGTTGGTCAAAAG